CGTCTTAGCGTTCGCCGCCTCACTCATAACCATCGGCAGGACACCGATGCCTTCCTTGCACAGGTGAAATGCACCTATGCCCCACCAGGTCGTCCTACCAAACACCACACGAGTACACTGGCAGATCCAAACCCCAGCTTGATGCCCTTATTGCAAAATTTCGCGCAGCCTTACTAAAATTACGTAATACAGTGCCCGGTGAAGATCAAATTACTAACACTGCCATTTGAAATCTTGATGATACTTCCATATCTGATCTAGTGAACTACTTTAATATTTGTTGAGAAGCTGGTATCCTCCCTGCCTCCTCGAAATACACGAAAATCATATTTATCCACAAACCTCACAAACTCATCACCATCGACAATATTCGTCCTATTTCATTAACATCCTGTCTTGCCAAGGTCTTCGAGCACATAATCCTTGCTAGGCTGATGATGTACATGGAAGAAAATCAACTTGTCCCCCACAGTATGTTAGAATTTTGTGCGCATCTTTCTGCGCAAGATGCCCCGCTCCAATTTACTCCTGACGTGCTTGACGACACAATTCCCCCCCATACTAAAGCTAAAGGCCTCAGAACTCATAACTATGTCTGCGCCTTTCTCTCTGTGCGCACTGCCTCCTTGTACATTGATAACCTGAGCACGGCCTCCTATATGCTTGGCGAGGTTGGAACTCCTCAAGGTGCGGTCCTCTCCCCCTTCATCTTTAATATTGCTTTCATTCCCTTAGCCCACAAACTCTCATCCCACACCTAAAACACACCTTGTACGTGGATGATATAATGACATGGAGTACATATGGTTCTGACGCACAAATAGAAGAAACTCTCCAATTAGCAGCCGACACCTTCTCAGCTCGCACGTCATCTATTGGGCTCGAATGCTCCCCCTCTAAATCCGCGCTCCTTTTTATGAGACCTAAATTAGCCGCTAACTCGCTCATCGAAATCACACTATGAGGAACCGCTATCCTCCTCATGCCCACACTGCGAATCCTTGGCCTTTACTTGCAGAATTCCGGACGGAATTACCGCACCCTCAAAACACTCAAGGCTTCTACGCAATCGGTATTGCAGCTTTTACGCCGCGTATCTTCTATGCACAAGGGTTTGGATGAAGCGGACAACATGAAAGTTGTGCATGCTTTCACACTATAGCCACATTCTATATGCCACCCCGTATCTTAGGCTGAACCGCACAGAAAATGAACGCGTGAATGCCATGACTCGCCTTGCAACTAAGGCAGCCCTGAGCCTTCTTCGTAGCACAAGCACACTCAATTTTTTTTAACCGTGCATGCACAATACCCTATCTGGGCTATAGATGAGGCACATATTTAGGCACATTATTTAAGACTCCGCTCTAGCGCCACTGGCCACCATATTCTCGCCTCCCTTAAGCATACCCGCTGATCAACCAACCTGCCTGGCCATTCCAAGACACATTCATGCCTCTAGAATAGTCAAACCCTTGCCCCGCAATGTGCACCCTCAGCATCACATCGCTCGTCGCGTGGCTCGCGAACAAGCCCTTGACAAAAGTTACGGACAAGCTAAGGATGTCATTTGGGTCACCCAATGGGTGCAGCAAACATAAGCATAACATAAGCATGTCTTCCATTTAAGGCCCCACAATACAGTATCATTCATTCAAATGTTCCTAGCACATTGATGATTGATATGTGAGGTTTAACGTCCCAAATCACCATATGAATATGAGAGACGCTGTAGTGGAGGGCTCCGGATATTTCGACCACCTGGGGTTCTTTAACGGGCATCCAAATCTGAGTAGACGGGTCTACATTATTTCCGCCTCCATCAGAGATGCAGCCGCTACAGCCGGGATTTGATCCCGCGACCTGTGGGTCAGCAGCCGAGTACCTTAGCCACTAGACCACGTCTCTCATAATCATATGGTGATTTTGGGACGTTAAACCCCACATATCAATCAATCAATCAACTAAAAGTATATATATATACGCTCGAAGCCCTTAGGTATATACTTCTTTCCTTATGTATATATATATATATATATATATATATATATATATGCTAAAAGTTGAAGTTCGCTAAGAAATGCTTCGCACTTGAAAGAACAAGGAGGCTCACCAGTAAATATACGACTGGAAGTGTGGGCGACACGGCAGCAAAAAGCATTAAGTGAAAAGTCAGAGAGGCGGTGAGAATTTATTGGAGGTCAGCGAAAGAAAATAAGCTGGCTGTCAGTAACTACCGAAAGGGCAAGAGCGAAATAAGGCGGGATAGGTTTTTTGATAATTGAAAGGGAAGCGGGTTACTGTTCGAAGCGAGGTCAGGTTGTCTTATAACGCGTAGTTATGAAGCAAGATTCAGTAAAGAAGAACAATGTGCACTGTCGTCCATTATGAAAGGGAACACGCGAATGCGTGGCCTGCGCTCTGAGGCGGCTGCTTACAATACCATCAACCGACAAGTGAAGAAACCACGTTCCTTTTTGGCGTCATCTATGGCCAAACAAGATAACGGGTCATGGTCGGTAGGCAAGCGCTGATAGATTACGTTCTCTCGCTGCTCGAGCAGCGAGCAATATTGGGCGATTACTGCAGCTTGCGCCTTGGTCGCGCACAACGTTTGATATGTTGGCAGTGGACTGCGCACTGGAGGTCTGAGCAGAGAGAGAATGCAATCTAGCAGCACTTGTCTACCGGCCATAACTCATTTTTATTTTTTTTGGCAGCAGATGACACTGAAAGCGAAGGTGTTTTCTTTTGCTGTCGGTTGATGGTGCTGTAGGCAGCCGCCACAGCAATGCAGCAAATTAAACAACGTGGCATAGGTAGTCTTGCTTTAGGAGCACACGGGAATACCCCAAATCAGGGGGTGCAAGGAGACATGGGATGGACATAGTTTGAGTGCAGGGAAGCTAGCAGCAAGATAGAATTTGAGGAGCGATTGAGAAAAACGGAAGAGAAGCGTTTTCAGTTCCTTGTACATGAAGAATGCCGATACTAAATGGAGGAAACGAACTCGAAATTAGTCTTTAGACAACAGCAGAATACCGAGTCAATAGGAAACATCGGTTAAGAAGAAGGTGAAGGAAACGGAGAGGGACATGTGGAACATGGGAATAATTACGAAATCATCACTGGAGATCTACCAAACTTTTAGGCAGGAAATTGCAAGTGAAACGATGTACGATAACTGTTGGGGTAGTTCTCTGCTCTTCGAGGCTAGAACGGGAGTATTGCGGACCAAGACGTACCGAGCAAAATACGAAGGCACAGACACGGCATGTAGTGCGTGTGGAGTTGAGGAGGAAACGGCTGAACATTTGATAATGTTATTTAAAGGGCTCCACCCTATAGTCGAACCTAATGGCGCCGAATTTTTCAAAACATTGGGGTTTAGGGACAGTGAAGATAAAATAGACTTTAAACGGGTAGAAATAACCAGGAGGAGGCTAACTGATTGGTGGCTACAATCGAGGTGCGAGTGAAATTCAATCCTTAAACACACAGTGATAGTACTTAACTTTATGACTAGGTAGCGTGAGCCACCGCCCAATATAAAGGGAACAGCCGAATCCGTCCGTCCGTTCGTCCGTCCGTCCGTCCATTCATCCATCCATCCATCCATCCATCCATCAGAGCGCAGACCACACGTTTGGGTGTTCGCGTGTTCCCTTTCATAAATGACGAGAGTGTACATGCTGTGGGGGAGTTAAGGAAACAATGAAACATGTTCTGACTGAATGCGGCGATATCCACCCATGGTATACGTGTAGGTATACAAGCGTATACAAGTGGCTTTAGGTTTCAGGGACAAACGTGGAAAGGTGAACCAGCGAATAGAGGAGGCGCTGGCTGAACACGTCCGCGATAGAAGCAAGTATGTGACGGTTAGAGTATTATAGTGGCAGAAAAGTAAAGATAAAGGGCAGAAATAGATGGAACACATTTATATTTTTCTTTGTTATAATAATATCGATTTAATGGAAGTACGTAAAGCATCAGGCCAACATGAAAAGAAAGATTTATTTTCGTCTTTGTTTTCTTGCGAGCTTGGTGGCACACGTAACCGCTCCGTTATAAAGGGGACGCTGATAGCAACCATTCATCCGTCCAGCTTATCAGCTGCCATTTTTCGAACGCATGGGCTTCTATAGAGCATTCACTACCAGTTGTATCTACCTTGGAGAGGTCGCAGTGCCGCGTCAAAAAGACATGCGCTGACGAGCTGCTAAGCGCACGCGTGGGAAGCCAACGCCGACGCCAAAACTTCTCTGCGAAACGAGCCGTTTAACGCTATCAGATGAAAAGTGGCACCGCACGTGTATGGTCCCAAGCATATTCTAGGGACCATAGCAAGTGCAACTTGGAGGATGTTGGCACGCCGCTACAGGAGAAGTTCCTCGCGGTTATGCATGCGTACTCACTCTTCTCGCGATGACCAGTGGGCCTTTTCACCAGAGTTGGGGCGAATACGCCTGCAGGACCACCGACAAGTGCAACTCGGCGGGACGTACGACCTCGGACGAGCGCCTGATCTTCGACTTAGCGCATCTTTTTGTGTATTTTTGTGCTCAATGGTGACACAGCAATGTTGGCGTTTCGTTAACAACAAAGGGTCCAGGGAGGTAAGGAGCCGGGAAACGTATGTAGTGTGTTTTAACCTTGTTTGCTTTTGGAGAATGTTACCCTTCTGCTGGCATCATTCCTGAAAGAAGAAATACGTGGCAGGGCTTACTGGACGGAATAACAACAGTGATTGCTCAGTTTACTAGACGACTGAAGAAGTGTGTGCATATGCGTACAGTGACTCGGCAGGTATGGAATAACTTGCTGTCATATAGTCGGATGACTAGCGTCTGTGTGCAATAGCATGCGGTCTACCAAGTAACGCACAGCGATGATACAGAGGGCCCCAGGAACTGAAGGAGAGAGGGAAAAATCGTTAATGCCAGCTTGCGGGCGCTTTCTTGCATGCAGCAGAGAAATATTTGACTCGCACATGTTCATGTGATCATGAAAGTTTTATTCGCGTGTTGAAAAAAATTTGTAGTTCCTCTTTATTTAGCGCGAAAAGTATTTCATCACTTTCTATATTTACACATACAAACATAAATAACAATGGTTCAAACAGGTTTGAGGCAATTTATCTGCAGAGTGAATTAGCCGAAACAGTCACGCCGCCAAATAGTGCTGTAGGCGACGAGCCTATAGCCTTGGAGCTGGAGATAGAACGCAATTGCAAATTGATGATACAAAAAATACGGCCATGTCTGACAGGACGTAATTTATTCGAAAATAAAATCTAATGTTCTATAGTTATGTCGAGTAAAACCATCCCGTGTCCAGCCGAGCGCGACCCCTGCTCGTGCGTAGCGAGTGCTCCTCGCGGGACTCTCAGCGAGGTCTGCCTTTTCGGATGAGGGCGCGAACGGCGTCGATCTGGTCAGAGGAAAGGCCCAGCTGGTTGCATTCAGCATTGAATGCGGCCATGGTGCCGTAGCCGGACACGTAGCCGTTGAGTCGAGTCGCCACGTGGCTCCGGGTCACGTCCTTCATGCCGGACTGTAGCAGGCTCTTGTACAGCGCGGTTTGACGCTGGAGTCGGTACTTCTGGTGGTGCCTGCAGAACAAACGACGGCAGTGCGCTGAAGAAATTTCGTTGCGTCTACATTTTGGCGAGGCTTCAATTAAAGACTCGAACTTGGCTCGTGTTCCAAACGATGTCGACAGACGCGTAAAACTGCTCCGTCCTCAGGCACCTCTTTAGTGTTCCGCAACGATTCGAGCTTTTTAACGCTCAAGAGCCGGTTGTGGTAGCAACGTTGTTACAATAACTCCGGCAAAATCGTGGCCTGGGCATAGGCCACCCCCGAGGGCGACCGGAGAACCGGTCTCTCTCGCCGCCTAACGGGCTAGCCAATATGGCGTTTTTTTCCCTTGTCATTGACGCTTCGAGATTTATGGCCAGCTGCTGCCGCTAAAAACTTCTAATAATTGAGAAAAAATGAATTTTAATAAAATTGTCAGCAATATTCCAGTTCAGTTTTTTTTTGCTATTACGAGGCTATATCTGGAGCACATTCGTTGCGTCGTCCCACCGGGGGTGGCGCCAGTGGGTGGTTCAGGGTACCAAGCCGCCCCCTAAAAGTCTTGCTTGCTCCTGCTTTACCCCCCCCCCCCACTAGATCAGACATGATCATATCGCAACGTGTAAGTTACCTGGCTGCCCCCCCCCCCCGGCCCAAAAATTCTGGTGCCACCCTTGCGTCACACTGGACCGAAATTGACACTGTGTTAATGTAAACGTGATCAACCTCAGCTTTTGTACCTCGCGCTCTGTGTTTTATGTAGTGCTAATCAGGACACGTCGAAGCTTTGTATCAGTTCGAAAAAAAACGACGCCTATGACGTGGTGTTGCCTATTGCTTAAAGGTCGTGTCTTTGATACAGGTTTTTGGTGGCTGCACTTAAACGCGGGCGAGGTTATTAAAAAAGAGAGGAACGCACATGTGCTCTTATTTATATGTGCGTTAGGTAACTACAAATGTGAAAAGTTTTTTCAAAGTCCCCTGCTACAGCTTGCCTTTCAGCACCCCCCCTATCGAGTTTTTGGCCCCTAAAATTTCAGAATCCAATGTAGTTTTCCTTCTTTTTAATCAAAAACTAGTATACTTACCATGTATTTTTGTTTACTTGAAAGGCCATCTCATAATGAAATGCCCCTCCTTCTCTTCCCGCCTCACAAAGTGTCTATAGATGAAGCTTTTTCATGACAGCACTAGGGTAGCAAAGCTTCCTCATATTGAAATGCCCCTCCTTCCCTCCCCGCCTCACAAAGTGTCTATAGATGAAGCTTTGTGATGACCGCACTAGGTAGCAAAGTACAACTGGTTTCCTGTGAAGTACGTAGTGAAACGATGCCAATGGGTGTCGGCAGGGAGGTGCAAAAGGGGCACCTACACCCCTCGAGCCATACAAGTACTTGCCCTCTATTCAAGCTACACCAGCGCTACACCCACACCCCCTGTTTCCGTGATGCATCACGGCTTTGAACCCCAGCCCCCTTCAGACAAAATCCTTCCGGCGCTCATGGCGATGCCTATACTTTTAATACGGATACATGACTCAAAATGTGAAACACACGCCAATCGTCATGAGTACCATGAAACCCTCGGGGATGTGCTTTAGCAGAAAAGCGCATGCTCACTGCTCAGCCAGGTGGTACTGTTCCAGCTTGAGGATCTTGGTGACTATGGGTGCGCTGAAGTTCTTTTGGTTCTCCTTCAGCGACCGCTGCGCCTCGTTCTCCTGGGCATCATTGTGGCAGAAGATGATGGACATGTACTCCCTGGAGACGTGTTCACGGGTCGGATCGTGGTTCGGCCAAAAGAGCTTCAGCAGCTCTCTGAAGCTCGTCTCTCTGGGGTCGTACTCGATGCGCACCACCTCGGTGTAGTCGGACCTGAGAACAGAGCGGGCGGGAAAGGTTCCACCATGGGCATGTCGTGAAGCGTGTACAACCAGCTGACAGACATTCACGCGTCGATTAAAAAAAGAAGAATAATAAACGATAGGGCAGCATCTCAGCTCTTTATTTCTCAAGATATATGTTGCGAGTGGATTTTAAAAGAGCCGGATAGTCTTAACATGGCGAGTTTTGGAAACATTTATTGAGCCAACCTGATGAAAATACGAGGGCAACAAGTATTCTGAAATTTGTGACTTCATACTGCTGTAGACAGCGCCAAAAGTTCAGAGACCACGAGACGCGAGAAAAAGCTGATTATTCCCGCTGCTTCGTCAAGCAGCCTTAAAGTTAGACTTTCGGCCTGTTTTAAAAAGCGCAAATAACGTGCACTGTGCAGTTCGATTGAAAATAGTCACGAATTGTTGAAAAATTCAGTTTTCTCAGGCATAGCGAAGTCTAAACATTTGTCGCCGACTTTAAGTACCAGCTTCTGGGTTTTGGTGCGAATTGAAAACATTACCTGCCCTTTGTTTTTGTCTTGTACGTGGTAACGAAGACATATGTTTGCGAAATTATCAGTTATCAGATTAAATTGATTTATTGTTTCAGTTAGGTTTTCCTTCTGATTACCTTGTTCTCCATGTCAGGCGTCGATTAATTGCTAAGTAGACGAGACTTTCCGCGAAGCAGGAGGAAATCACGAGCATCCGCAGGACAAATGACGTATACAACGGGCATCTTGTCGACTAGAGGTCACCTCGATCGCGGGAGCCGTGCGGTTTGTTGATCGGCAACATGTTCGTCAGAAATGCGCTGAACATGTATAGTTCTATACATAATCCTCTGAAACACACCTTTTATATTCACCACTTATTCATTTACCCATCACGAAATGTCGTATTCTGCTGCTTCCGCGTCGCATGCCGATAAGGCCATATCCACTTTTGTTCGCCCATAAGTACAATCGGTTAGAAATTAAGTACAGTTGGACGCATCCTAATCATCATTGTGAGAAGCTCGAGTCTTTTCATTGCAAATAAACGGACAGCTTGAACTAAGCCTCGCCTAACGTAGACTCCAAGTGTGTTTGATTTTTATCATTCTTTCTTATACATCCATTCTGTACCACTCGTAGTTTTCAGCAGAGGTATATGTACGTAAACATGACAACTTTATGATTACTATGATTACTTGCAAGCGAATTCCATTTGGAAGCTGGCACGAGAAAGTACTTAAACACTTACTCGTCGTCCTCATCTTCCCGGGCACTCCTGCATTTTTGCAGACAACAGTGAGGTACTCTGCCGAGCACAGTATCGCAAAAACCGTGTACACCGCCAGTGCGGCAGCACCAGCCAAATTGGTGCAAGCAAGCAGCGTATACGCACAGCTGCTAAAGTGCAATGATCGTCAAAGGAAGTGTATACAGCCACATGTCATTAGTTATTCATCAAACGTCATTAGTGATTTTATCAAGCTATTCAGCCTGTACTGAAACGGCAGCGCCTCGACAGCATGGCTCTCTCTCTCACTCAGTCTATCAGATGGAAAAACTTCAGAGAATAAATCTTCGGCCGAGTTAGTGGTTCATTATACTGACAACAGCGGAACAAGGGACAAGGAATAGGAAGAAAACAAGCGAGAAAAACTTTTTTTAAAATCAATATTAGACTTCAGTGAGCCTCACCGTAATAGCGGACTTGACACGCATATGCAAGTGCCAAACTATAGCTAAAATATGTGTTCAGTGTATGCTTCATAAAAGGTGAAAATATGAGACATTACGTTCAATTGTTACTTGCGGAAAAACAATTAACATTACAGTGATTGATGCATTCATTATGCCACGTGCATCTTGAATGAGTTCAGCTATAGTGAAAACAAAACTTAAATAGCAGTCACTGCAACTGGGTTAGTTGCATCATCAACAAACGAAGGTTGTCACTTGATACTGTTTTCCTCTATTATTATAACTTTGTCTGCAATATTTGAGGTACAAACATATGCAGTTTTTTGTGTAAATCTACACACTGCGAAATAGACACATAGTGGACCACGATTATAAATCAAGGTAGTAATTCGCCTGACAGCCCTGACACAGCCGTTCTATCCGGAGTTGCTTTGTACGCCTGACATATAATGCATGCAGGCGTCCCACAGCAAACGCAGAAAGCATCAGCCCACTTACAGTGAGCGGTAGGTGGGATCCTTCTTGCTGCCTCCGGCATAGGCAGCGGTGGTCCGCAAAACTCCCTTGACGCAACCGTACAAGGACTCGGATTTCCAGAAGCAGCCCATGCCGAAAGTGGCCTTCTCGAATGGCACATCAGGCTCGTACAGGGTCCTTGTGGATGGCTGGATCTGGGGTAATGGACCATTGCAATCGTGATGAAAAAGAAAATAAAGAATAGAAGCCCAACGGGAAACTCTGGACGAAAAGCGCTTTCGTATGAAATGCAGCTCATCCACTTTTAAGGTCACAAGAACCTTGAGCGGACGTCGCTATTTCATATTGAGTCGGCAATTGTGAAATATGGTCTATTCGAGTCGGCGTATATAGTATTTCTTTTTGTAATATTTAAAAAAAACACCGTATCTGAACGAAAGCTCAGTTGGTTTTGTATGCGCTGATTATAAAGTCGCATAAAAACTACACACCAACTATTTTTCATCGGTAATGTCAATAATAAATTATTCTGTAAGTTTGTGGGTGTTATGTCTTATATATGAGTGATCTGATTTACGTAATGGCTTCCGCAAAGCGCATTGTGTACGGCTATCTTGGCACGTATACATGTGAATGCGTGTTTGTTTACTGTATTGCATCATCATCATCATGATCATTATCATCATCAGCAGCAGCAGCAGCCTGACTACGCCCACTGCAACACAAAGGCTTCTCTCATGTTCCTCCAGTCAAGTCGGTCCTGTGCTTGCTGCTGCTTTACACTCGCAAACTTCCTAATCTCATCTGCCCACCTAGCTTTGTGTCTCCCCCTAACCCGCATGCTTTTTCTGGGAATCCAGTCAGTTATCCTTAATGACCAGCGGTTATCCTGCCTGCCCGGCCCATTTCTTCTTCTTGATTTTAACTATGATATCATTAACCCTGATCTGTTCCCTGATCGATCCACTCTGCTGTCTTCTTGTCTCTTAAGGTTACACCTATCATTTTCCTTTCCATCGCTCGCTGCGTCATTCTCAATTTAAGTTGAACTCTCTTTGTAAGCCTTTGTAAATTTTATATATGCCTGTCTGGAATGCGTGAAGCCACTTCTTAACAAAATGTCCGATGTACTTCTTTTTTATAACTTTTATATGACAATGTCCGTGTTGCACTTATTCGTTAATATATCATTGTAGATTTGTGTCATGGCTTGTTAAGGCTTTGCCACGGAATCAGTGTATATCTTGAAATGTGTAGATTCGTGCATATGCACAAGGTATTTTTTTGTTTCTTTCTTGCCGTTTTTGAAATAATAGATATTATTTTTGAAAAATAACATGACGGCAAGGCATCTGTCGTGTACGCACATACATACGTCGCGAAGGAAATGCATTGCTGCCACTAAAATTATATTAACAGACTAAATAAGAAAACCACGAACTTTATTATCAAATTGAGGGAAGTTGCTCGTACAGAAAAACTGTGCGGCTTCACAATGCATGGCAAACCCATTGACTTTAAAAATAAAAAAACGTGTGTATATAATTTGAGTTACTCATGATTGAGTTTCACTGGCGATATCTTAACCGAACACGCCGGGCGCTCTGGAAAGACGTCCGCTCTGCTGCACAAAAGACCGGAATTTACGGCGAAAAGAAAGCGTTGGAATTTCAATGAAAGAACATTGCAGCATATTCTTGTCTGGAAAAAAAACAATCATCTGAAGTCACGAGTGAACCACTCGTTCCATGCCTGTGATGTGTGGCGAGAAAGCACAAAAACACTCTTCCGCCTCATGCACCATGGATGTACAAGTAGAAGCATAGCATGCAGGGTCTGCCCTTGATTTTCACGCTGTACGCAGTGAAAGAAAAGTTGGAATTTCGGTTTTCTTGCGCAGAGCACGGGAAAGTTATGCATGAAACATCGCACAAAAAGGTATAAGGCGATACGCGGGTACAAAGTAGACTATGTTTCTATTTCCACAGTACTGCAACAATGCACCTTCATTCAAAATTCGTCACGGTAAGTTACAATCTTGTGTAAAACAGCCGCCCTTTCTGTGCTACCAGCGCCACGCTCGGTTGAAATTTGGCATGCATTTATAAGGACCAGGATGCATGAACGGGTCTCGAACTTGTGTTGAATCGCTACGCCCGTAAAGAGATAGAGCGACAAATGCGCAGGGAGTAAAGGCACTGATGAGTCCAATGTATGCTTTCCAGTATACTACTTACTGCCCCTGAGCCACTCCCCATTCTGGGGAACTGTACGAGTCGCCGATCAGATCACTTCTTGCATCCGTGACAAGGCACCGTAATTTTACCTGCGTACTAAAAGGCATTTCTTATTGTAGGCAACACTCGTTAAATATGCCTGTGCCTGGTACGTTTACTTCGAAAAATTCCAATACAGTTTTTATTATAAATAATAAAAATTAAAAATAATAAAATTTAAAATAAATTATAAAAATAACAAAACTAAGATGTAGCTTGGTCGAAAAGAGTTGTTCACGCTACAATTTTCATGCGTTGCGGTTTCTCCACGAACACAGCGGTTACTTCATCGACACTGACTTGTATTTAGTGAATGGTTATTAGGGCCATACCATTAAACCGCTCTTCAGCCATCCGATTCTTCTAATACGTTTTCTCTCTTTTCAGTGTCGAGAAGGTGCGTTCTGCAGCAGCTGTACTCACTGGGAACGTTGCCAATATCTTGAGGGGTGTGTGAATGTTCGGGAAGAGGGCTTTGTCGCATTCAGCTAAAGCATCTGTCGCAAAGCGGAGAAATTCGTCCTCTTGCATGGCTTTCCATTTAGTTTTTCCAGATTTCCCATTCACCTTTCAGTGTAAGGATGTGAGCTGTCGTCGTACCTCTCAGGTGATAAAAAATGAAGGCTGGCTGCATAGATTCCAATTTGCCTTTGGAGGCATGCTTTGTCAACACAATTGCAAACTTTGCAGTGTTTTGTGATGGTTTGCAAAGCGCCGTTTGAGGGAAGATTCCAGGTCATCTATGTACGGAATGAACAAAGCTCGCGTGTAGTACTTATCGGCAACTACAATAGCTTGACCGCTACCTCTGCGTTCCTACCCGTGGAGTCTCGCACTTTACTCTGAACTCCGCCGTACTGTTTTCACATACACAAAATATTTTGTTAAATTCTGTCTCCGTGTTAGTTCTTCTCTCTTCCCTTAGTCAGCACCAAGTCAACCTGCTCCAAGGCGACATTCATGCCAATAGATTCACTGTGCAGATACACAGACTAATGGTGTATCCTATAAGAATGCCTCACTAACAGCGAGGCATATGTAAGTTGGGCGAACAGATTCGCTGATGGGGGCAATGAGCGATGGACGCTTTTGCTTTGTCACGGAAGGTGTCCGTAAACTCCTCAAGGAAGCGAACTATATCGTAAAGCGCTTCTACAAACAATTCAACTGAATCATGATGTTTCACCCACCTTGTTTCACGCAATCGGCGCAGCGAGCCGAAGGACTTTGTAGACGCTCTGGGTGTTTTTTTCAGGAGAGATGTCCTTTTGGGTGACACCCGAAAGAAAATGCACACTTCACTTATTGTGCCAAAAGCCCGTCGAATATTTTGGACAGCTGAGGCGTCACTGAAACAATCGATGGGCAATGTGTGTACAAAGCGATTGGGAAGTCGTTCCGGATGAGTGCCTGTACACCATTGAATGCCCCATGCCGCTGCTCCATCGCGTCCTTTGTCTCTCATCCCGTTCAAGTGCAGGCCTTGGTTCAGCGGCTCCCTTTTCAGAGTGTCAGAAAATTATAGACGCATTGACGTCGTCAACAGCTACAAAGCAGAGGAAATCATCCCGAATACTCGAAGTAGTGGGATCGACGTAGCGTATATGCACAACGAGAAGTGTTCTATTTGGAACACATACATTGTTTCGTCTGCAAGCACCGAAAAAAAATTGTCTTTTTTACCTGTATGACAATTTTATCTTAGCTTGCATAAGCTTGCCAATTATCAAAATAACTTTATTTTGAATGTGCCGGCTGGAGTAGAGGGCACTGCTGCCTGCTGTGCATGTGATTGGCCAAAATGGTGTCTTCTCCGTTCTCTCTCTCTCTCTCTCTGTCTGTCTCTCTCTCTCTCTATATATATAGGTAAGCATGGTGGTTGAGTATATATATATATATATATATATATATATATATATATATATATATATATATATATATATATATATATATATATATATGCAGGCATGGTGGTTGAGTGGCCGTAGCGTTGCATATAGTCCTGTAGATCCTCCGTGAGCGGTCACAACGTTGTTTATTTCGGCATTCCGGCCTAGAGTCTGGCCTTCATCAGGATTAAAGGTACAGTTGGTTGGTGCTCAGCTTTATACAATCTCAAATAAGAGGAAAAAGACAGTAAAAAATAAAAAAGGAGAAAAAGAATATAAGGTGGACTCCCCTCGGGTGCCCCCCTTCCACTCTTCCTTGCACTTCCCCCTTCATCTCCCTTTCTCCCCTTCACCTTTCTGATGTCAGCGGTCTGTGTATGCTTCCTTTCACTAACGCATTCTTCCCTACCAGACGGCGCCTCCTGGCCCTGGCGGTTCGGTGTGGGGCAAAAAAGAGCTTTTTTAGGAAGTTCTAAGCCTTTAACTACTCGGAGCCCCGTCAACATTTCGTCGTAGAAAGAGCGGTGCCGCGTATTGCGGCAGAGGCTGGCAAGCGGGCGCAATGCGAATTCCATGCCCGCTTCTGGATTACGCGTGCAGTGGGGGCCTCCCGGCTGTGCACAGGGTTGCTGTTGGGCGTGTCATGCATTCGACAAACTATCATGAACGCTCTTAGAGACGGGATTTAAATCAAATCGAGAACGTGAACAACGAGAGTCATACCTTATCCACCGATTTAACACCCACGATAGAAGAATAAATGAGAATCGTGGTACACTTGCAGCAAATAAAGCATTAGAAAACAATAACGGCAATAATGAAAATAGTAACTGAGTTCTCGGCACTGCAGCTGCGAAGGGCACTGGACGACTCAAAACAATTCCAAGTGTAACTACTCTTCCTAAGTGCAGCTATCGTCTGTTTTCTGTTTTATTTTACTACCCAATCAATGGTGCCATGCATGGCATGCCCAATAGCAAACCTCTGCACAGCCGGTAGGTCCCCACTGCACGCGTAGTCCAGAAGCGG